CCGGATTTTTATTTTAATTTCGAATAATGACTATTGAAAATGAGACATCTGTGAAGTGATGCAGCAGCCGTGTCCTGCGTCACGAGCTCCCCCCAAATGTCCCGCTCCTCAGTAGCTCGATGCAAGCTTCTCACCGCCGCCTCTTCCCGCCTCAATGCCAAAGGACAAGCCAATCTTGCCATAGCCATGGGAACCTGGCGATGGAGATTCTGCTTAAGAATGGAAAACTGGTCCGGCCATCAAAGGCTTCGTTGCACCAAGTCTGGTCGCCTCGGCAATCAGCCTTTCGATTCGATGCCAGGCTTGGAAGCTAGGCTGCCAGCCGAAAAGGTAATATCCACCGCATCGACCGGTAAGCTCTTCCAATGGCCTTGGTCACATGTCAAATGCCAAAGAATGTCAAAGAATCAAATGAGTTTGCAAGAGTTTGCAGGAGTCTTGCATTTTGGTCCAGGTCTTGAGATTCAGATGATTCAGGCTGGTACGTCACAGCTGCCAATGCACGGCTGCCGAGCTCAGTCTTCCACTCTGTGAGGCCTGGCGTGTCCGTGCCATGTTTGATGCTGCGAAATCCCTGTGAGGCCTTTGTAGGGCCAAAATGGCGGCGGTGGGATGCAGGGCTTCCCCGGCCGACTGCCTCGAAAAGGAGATCTAAGACGAAAACCATAAAAACCACACCTCGCTTTCGACGGGAAGTGCAGCGGAAACCAACATGCAAAACGCGATCCTATCGGAGCTAAGATCCGTACTCTGCGACCGGCCCTCGCCGTAGTAGCTGCAAGCTTCCTCTCCCGAGGCTTCAGACGGACGCATGGCTTCAGCTTAGCCTCACAAGTCTTTCTCTTGGCATGGCCTGGCTCGGCACAGGGATGAGCGGGTTTCCCAAAACCTTCAGCTTCACCTCCTGCGTACATCAAATCTGGTCGCAAAGAAGCACGGCATCGAATCGCAGTGCTTTGATTTTGGACAGCCGAACAGCCCTTTCAGGTGAAACGGGCAAGCGATGCAAACGCTGCTCCACTTTAGAGCATGCGCTTTGACCATCTGCCCAGGACCGCGCTGGCGACAGCGGTCCGTCACGCAGGGTCGCTTGCGATTTCACGAAGAGAGCAGAGACAGACTCCAACTTGCAAGACTTCCGTGACATTTCTGATCTTACAATATCTTACAATATCTCACAATATCTTACATTGTGTCCATGTGCGTCAAGCAGGGCCCGTGGGCCCCATCTTGGTGTAAGACGTGGCCTCGATGGCCCTGTGCTCACGCAGCAGCTCTGCAATCTGCGCGCGCTCCGCGGTTCTAGTGTCGCCGTTTTGTAAAACCACGCCCAAAGGTGTACGACCATGGCTGTCCACTGCGTTGACATTGCAGTCACGGAACTCCAAGAGAATCTTTGCGATGTCCACATGGCCCATGAGAGCCGCAATGTGCCTCAAGAAGCCAAACTTCTTAAATCTAGTTCTCCCATGTTCTCTGCCTGCTTGTTGTGCCGTCTTTACCAAGTTGCAAGGGTGTCCGGCCAAAGTCATCCCTCACGTTTGCATCTTCCACGGCATCAAGGTACATCTCGAACTCTTTCGTGTTGCCATTCCTGGGACTTGTGTGGCTTGTGCGAAGCCAATGTGCTGAAAGGAACGTGATCAAGCAATTGGACAGAACCGATCAATCAACCTGAAACATATCCTATCTGAACGGTGTGTCGTTTCTGCACAAATATTTGCATCTTGGGCTCTCAGCATGAAAGAACATGCACAGCTTCGCATTTTCATAGAAAGCTCTGGCTTTTGCCGCGGCATCCATGACGGGACAAATCTAGAAACTGAGCAATTTGCCGCGCCACGCATCGCATGTGCCTTTAGGGATCATGCATCGTCTTGAAGAGTGTCAATGTTGTCAATGTTGTCAATGTTGTCAATGTTGTCAATATGTTTTGTTGCCTCAGGCTCCGTATCATGCATCCTTCTGTCCTCAGAAGCAAGCTTGGCTGGATCACCGACGCGGAACCGCAAGGCCTGGCGACCTCGGGAGAAGGGTAAGACACATACCACCATCTCTACACAGTATGATTCAACATGCTATGATATGCTATGGGTATGCCGCTTTCTGAAGCCTGCGTCGCACTGCTGGTGGTTGATCAGCTCCGTCCCGTCGCTGGGCCTGGCGCACTGGCACGCAGCGCGTGAGTTGCAGTGGGCTGCACCCAGGCGCCTCTCGCTGCCTTGGAAGGGGTGGATGCAGAGCCTCAGTGACTCAGGCTCGTGATGGCTTTCCTACGTCTATGGATTGCAATTATTCGAACGGTCCGACGCAACTCAAGTGCCTCATCTACTTTGATTCACGCCCTGCTTGTGCAATGTTTTCTCTTGGGGGCAGGCGTGGTTGGCCCCGTGGACTGTATGACGAAGCCGGCCAGGCGCTCATCTTCCGCGAGCTTCCGGTACCCAAAGGAGTGCCTCGAAAAGAGAGCGAGGCATAGACAAATCGGACGGCATGGGCCATGGATGCGATGCGTTCGTGCCCGCCCGGCCTGGTAGACAAGCAGTCGGCGGGAAACGCCATGCGCGGCTCGGAGGAGGCATCGGGGCCCGTCTCCGGATGGGCGCATTGCCGGCCTTGGAAAGCTTGCAACCCGCAAAGAAACAAAGAACGGCGGTTTCCCCAAGCCGCCCACCTAGCTGGAAACGAGACACACCGCCAGACTTCACAAACTTGATGTTCTTGGCCTGGCCGCTTTTAGGCGCACAAAAGAACAAACACACATTGAACAAACTACACACTCCGTTGTTGCGCTAAGCGCTTGTCAGGCTCGTCATCACAGCTAGAGAAGACAAGCCTGCCGTCGAGGCATGCCGATGCTGAGGCCCCGAGCACGCTCAAGCGACTCAAGCCACTCAAGCCACCCAAGCCACTGAAGCCACTTTTTCAGGTTCTGACACAGTGGAGTCCTCACCGGTGACATCCTCAGATGCCTTGACCTGAGCCCAAAGGCAACATCAGCCAGGACTGGCTTTGAAGGCACTATGTGCCAGGCGCACATCCCACTTGAGTGGACCAGTGTGTCTTGAACGCCTCCAGAGGCCTTAGCTAGCTTCAGGCAAACCCTGTCCCGAGTATGTCACGTGCCTGCGGCTTTGGCGCCACAGGTGCCACTGGCGGATTGTAGGACGCTACTTCTACTGGAACCTCCACGTGCGCAGCCTGGCGTGTAGATTGTTTCGCCCGTGGCGTGCGCACGTCACGGCCTCCGAGGTCTGAAAGCGATTGATGGCTTTGTCTCCTGACCGCGCATTCGCTTGCCACGTGGTCACGCATGGCCATGCATGGCCACACATGGCCACACATGGCCACACGGCATGGCCTTCGCAGCTGGAGTGCGTTGTCAAACGGGTGCCATCCACCGCCCTGAGAAGCGCAGTGAGGGAGTGGAGAAAGTGGAGAAAGTGGCGAGAGTGAGTGAGCTGTTCTTTCCGAGGGCCCGGGCTTTCCGACTGGAACCACGCATTTCCTGCAATCCCGAAACCCGTTTTTTTGAGCTAACTGCGGCTTCGCGGCTGACTTGAGCTCCTGGAGTCCAGATGCTGTAGCAAGAAGAGGTCGGTGCCCACCAGAACCTTCTTGAACAACCCGTTGCGCCTGAATCAAACGCATTGCAAATGCATTTGACATCATTCAGTCATCCCTGTTACAACTAACTATCATGCTTTATCATATATAGGTATATGTATATTATTACATCTCAGTCGCAATCGGCTAGGTCTCGTGCCCACAGGCTGCAAGAGTAATGTGCCACAGGCTGCAAGAGTAATGTCGGCTTCGTCAGCGATTGCACACTTCGAACCTCAGAATGTGCCGCACGACATCTTGGACCGGACAGGCGTTCCGAGCTTCGAAGCACTTCACCTTTGGAGAGCCCACGTCTATGGGCAATGAAGTAGCTGTTGGCCAATGGCATTGAATACCATCTGCTTTGCCCTGACCAAGGTTCCTTGTGGACTGTGAGCCCCAGCCACTGCAACAAAAGCTTTTTGTTTGGGCAATGCACGCCACCGATTAGATGGCAAAACGGCGGTGACCGGCATGACGACGGCATGACGGCACCTGCAAGTTGCTGGACGTCGGTCTGTACCGGGCGCTCAACATTTCAAGTTCGAAGGGGTACAAAGTGTCCATGGACCAAAGCGACCACAGCCGCCAAAATCCAAGAACGTCCAAGAACCAAAACGGCCTTGGCTGCCGGGCCCAAACGGAGCTGAACACTGTCACCAGCCGCGAAGACTCGGATGCCCTCCTTGGAACATCAAGCTTGAGAAATTACTGAAGCACAACGGGGACATGAGAAATTATGAGAACACACGGTCTCAATGTGTCTCAGGACCACGCGAATCCTGCGCCACATTCGACTAAAGCCAGCCTGGCAAGTTTGATTCGTCACACGCATCCGCACGGATGCCACAGCAGCTGCATTCATTAAAATGTTGCATGATGTTGCATGTCGCATTGGTCGGGCGTACTGGGCACCCTCAGGCCCGACCTGGGATCTCGTCAACGCGAGAGCCGTTGCATCCGAAAGGCATCGGGGCCCGAGCGCACAAGCCGCTGTTGTGCTTCAGGATGCGAGCCTGAAAAATCTGAAAAAAAGCAGTGCAAAATAGTGCAATTCTGTGTGGCAGTGCGACATTCAGAAGCTCAGGGCCTCAGAGCCTTGCCTTAGCGCACGGGATGCAGTGATGAATGCAATGCACTTGCAGAAATCTGTGCACCGCATTGCACCTGTCACATCCTGTCACCATGTGGTTCATTTATGCATGTGTTCTGCGTGCAGCGTGCACCTGGGGCAGCTACGCAGGCGCAAGAGTAGGCAAGGGCTGAGCTGGGAAGGGCACTCCGACCTGCGCAGCCTGCCATGTTCTTCAGGATGACACCGCATGTTTGAAGCACGCAGCTACCGCAAACGCGTGCGATCGTGCGCAGCACAGCGCGCTGATGCAAATGTAAAGCTATGGAACATCTAAGGACTTGATGCGACATGATGCGACATGATGCGACATGATGCGACCTTGACTTTTGGTGCAGTTGGCAAAGTATGGGGACATGGACTGGAAGCCACGGCGGTCCAATTCAGCAGAGCGCTCCTTCAGGATTCGGAGATCCTCAGCTTGAAGCCCTGCCCTTGCCAAGTGCCTTGACGCTTCATCCTGGCGACCTTTGGTGTCAGGTAGCGCGATGCAGGACGTCTCCAAGCCGCTGTGGCGCATCGCCTGGATGGTCTCCAAGGGCCGACTCGGGCAAGGCACTGCCTGGTCCTTTGCCAGGCACCGCTTCAGCGGATAAATGGCGGCTTTGGGCAGGCTGCCGTCTGCGCCCTGCAAAGGCCCCAGTCGGGGGACATGACAAGCGCTTGCACCGCTTGCACCGCTTGCACCATCGGGTTTACACAACCGATGCACATAAACATAGCCTTCTTCAGAGGTGATGTAAGAGGTCACGTCCAGCATCATGTATGCGGGACGCGTGCGGACACAATACAAAAGATCCCTGCGTGCAGCGAACTGCCAGTCGCTGCCAAATTTGGCTGAGGACTTGGTCCAACACCGGTCCCAGCCCTTCTTCAGCAGCTGTGCTTCAATGGCACGGCCGGTGGGTTGCCAGTCCGCCTCGCTGGAAACACGGTGGGGAGGAGTGGTGGGGGTGAGTGGGGTTTGGTTGGGATTGGGAGGGGAGGGGGTGGGGGGAGGGGGGGGGGAGGGTGGGGGATGATGGGAGTAGATTGTACGAGGGAGTAGAGACGTGGGTTGTGGGGGTGGTGGGGGAGGGGAGGGGTGCCTGGGAGGGGGGTTGGTGAGTGGGGGAAGGGTGGAGGGAGGGTGGTGGGGGGGGTCGGACTGGGGTAGATGGGGGGGTGGGGAGGAATGGGGGGGGTGAGGGGTTGGAGGGGGGGAGGGGTGTGGTGGATGGTGTACTCTAGGGGAGGAGAGAGTTGGGTTGGGTGTGGGGGAAGGGAGAGGATGGGGGATGGTTTTTGTGGATGTCGGAATTGGGGGGCCGCCTCGCTGGAAACACCAATCATCAAGTCGATGTCGCGCTCAACAACGTCCACCAAACCGCGGGAGAGCGAGCCTGACCGAGCCCCGTGGCGTAGCAAGGCGATCAAGGTCCCGCGGCACGGCCACCATTCCAAGGATAACGCTCCGAGCACATCGGCCACGTCTTGCAAAGCAGTGTGGTACAAGTCGTCGGAGATCTCCCCTGGATCTTCCATAATTTGCCAAGTGTCCTCGGAGTCATACACATCCTGCCAAAGCAAATCATAGTAACGTTGCGCCCTCCGCCAGCCAGCACCCAAGGGCCAACCCATCTCGTCACTCCCGTCGCTCCCGTCGCTCCCACTACGAATTGACATTTGTTGTTGCAGCCAGGCGCGCAAGGCATTGAACTCCAAGTTCAATGCGGAAGCTTCGCTGAACAGAACCGCGTGATTCTCTGAGCTGTCGGCCGAGAAGGTGTAGATCTGCAGCAGCAGGCGTTCGCTCTGCAGCAGCATCGCCTGGAGCACGGCCATGGGACAAACCGCTGCGACCTGGCGCTTCTTCTGCAAAATCGCCTCAACCACCTGATAGCTCGACAGCAAAGGCATGCCACTGCTGTAGAAATCCAACGTTAAGCTCCGCACCTCCTCCAAAGAAACGACTTGCCCAGAATGCCCGAAGCCCGTACTTGAGCAGCCACGTTGCAGCTCGTCCCTGCTGGAGAACGTCGTCTCTGGAATCAGCTCTTGTAAGACTTCTGGCGCCAGTTGGGCATGCAAAAAACGTCGTGGGTGTGCCAGACATGGCAGTGCCTGTGCCAACACAAACGCTCGAGCCATGCTGCTGTGAGGCGAAAGAAAGAAGTGCCAGGGCATTTATGGCATTTATACAGGGCCAGCCAAAAGACCAAAAACAACATTGCCGCAGCCCACTTGTTAATCGGCCAGCCATGCCCTTATCTGACCCTCACGCTTTGCAGCCCAAGCAACTGATCAGGATAGCATATCCTCAAACTTCCTTGTACGATTATGGCTGGAACCTCCAACTGAGGGGGGTCGTCCAACCCTGTAGAAAGTAAAGGCGGCTTGTCTTTAGAAGGGAATGTCCAGACTTGAGCTTGTCTGTGGGGTGTGCCGGTACCCTACCCCGTAAACGTGCTCGGCGGCCCGCCGAGCTCTTTAGGGGGTTGCCAAGTCTGCAACCACAAGCCGTAAGAGCGGTCATCACCACCTTGGGGTCACCGAGCTCCCTACCCTCTAAAAGTGCTCGGCGGGCCGCCGAGCTCTTTTAGGGGGTTGCCAACTCCACAACCCCATTAAAAAAGCAATTGGAAGAAGCGTGTGGCTTGCAGCCAGACACCTCTAGCGGCAAAATACCCGTTCGCACTCGGGCTACAGCTTGCAGAAAGTAAGGGTGGCCTATCTTTAAACGGGAATGTTCAAACTTGAGCTTGCTTCCCTGCAAACGTGCTGGGTGGCCCGCCGAGCTATCTTAGAGGGCTAACTGTCCAATCAAATGCCATGACAGTCGTCCACCCTGCTCCCTGCAATGTTGATATCTCTTGGTGTTGCAGCGTTTTGGCTGCCCCTGTTATAGTTAGGGCATTTGCACGAAACAGGAGACCGACCCCGTTGTGTTGCGTGTGGCCACGCCTCAGGCGTTCCCCACCTGGGGCTGCGGTCCGGATGCCTCTGGGTATCCTCTGGGTATCCTCTGGGTATCCTCTGGGTTTCTGAGGCGCCAACAGCCCGCGGAGCAAGCTGACCACCCCGGCCGTCGCCTCGTCTTCGATGCGACTTCACGCACGCTGAAAGGAGCGCAGCATGTGAACGCGCAAGCCGCAAGCAAATTGATAAGAACCCGGCAGCGGCAGACAAGAGAAACCGAGCTGCGAAATTCCAGAGTCCTTGCGTGACATATGGCATGTGTCAATCTCACAAGCAATTTACAGCCGGTCGGTCCTGCATCGGCTGCCTTCTTTTTGCCCATTGTGAGACATGCAATGCTGCGCTGAAACAGCCAATTGCTCAATGTGGCTGCGACTTTCAACTTGAGCGGTTGCTCTGTATGCTGATGCCTGGATATTCTGCTCACGCCTTCTGCTTGGTGCGACTTGTGGCCACACGCGGCCGCTGGTGGCGAGTGTCTCAAAATGCGCCTTCCCTTTTGCGACCCAGTGCAAGCCAGTCAGGTCCCTCTCGGGCTTTTTTCAAACGCCCAGGAGGATGGCAACTACTCCGAGGCCGTAAGTTGCGGCCACTGCCCATCTCCTGTACTTCAGCCACGCCGGCAGATCCTGCCAGAACCTGAGCTGCAAATTGCACAGTGGCGACGCGGACGACGGCTGCAAGGCGACGGCTTGGAAAAGATGGCAGTGAGGCCGCCAAAAGCGATCTTAGCAAAGTGAGAAAAAAACGGAAACCGAAAAACCGAAACAAATATCGGCATTAGTCGAAATATCTAGACATCTTTGAATAGTTGATGTTCATTTGCAAACTGGGGTCAAGGCTAGGCGTGTCACTTGGCGGCCCTGTGTCTCTAGGGTTTGCCGCATCGCCACCGACTGCACCTCCAAGGTGCGCCGCATGGCCTCGACACGAGTGAAGCGCAATGCGAAGCAAACGCTTTTGTGCAAACGCAGGGGCCATACAGTTAGGACAGGCCATGCGCAACTTTTTCCGGACTCAAAAGTCTAGGGTCCACCCTAGGATTTTTTGCATTTTTTGAATAAGCGCCTCAAAACAGCCATTTTAAAACATTTTTTGAAACAGTCTAAACACATTTTGATAAATATTTTTTTAGTACTGCATACCAAAACAAAAATTGAATTATTTTTTGAAAAATTCAATACACCTAAACATTGTCATTTTCAAAAACACACATTTTCCAAAATATTTTAGAAAATATATTTTTTTCAAAAGAGATAAATATATATATCATTTTAAGAAGAATTATTTAATAAGAAATAACATTTTCAATAATTCAATGAGAAGACAAATAATTAATCATTTTTCAAAATTTGGATATTCCGGAGTTGCGCATGGCCCACCTTGTAGGATTTTATCTTCAATATATAAAACGCTATACTTACATTATAATTACAACATATAAGGGTATAAATGTTATAATTATAGTATGGTTATAATTTAAATTCAGGATAACTATTTAATTGATATATATTTCCTCTTTCATATATCATTTTAATAATACTATTAATATCTCTCACTGTATTTTGAACATTAAACTTTTCACTTTCAATAAATAATTTAATGTTTTTTTTACATCAACCCCTTCCATTTTATGATAAATCAATGCCCATAATATGTAGTCAATAATTTCATACTTTTTCTTACTGATTTTAAGAAATGCTTTAACATAATCATAAGGCGGTATTTCATACACAGTTAAAAATATCAAAATGTCATCTTCAACATTTCTTTCATTAAACCTTTTAATATCTAAATTATATTCGATTGCGTCTTGGTAATATCTCCAATTTCTACAAATTTTGCATAAATTGTCCTTACCCAAAGAATAATCAACAATATTAACTATTCCATTAGGTAAATTTAATTTATATAATTCCATATTTTCCTCTTTGAAGTGGCAACAATCATAGCATTTCTTATTGATATAATTATTGATTTCGGTTTCCGCCATTACACACTATATAATAATATATAGCTTTTATTTCTTTAAATACTTTTTTCCAAGAAATAAAATTAAATATTGAAATATAAGTATAACATATAATATTTTACATGTTATTATTATATTATGATTATAATTTCAGTACAGGATAATAATTTAATTGATTTGTCTTACTTCTTTCATACATCATTTTAAAAATAATACTAATATCTCTCAATGTATTTTGAACATTAAAATTTTTACTTTCAATAAATAATTTGATATTTTCTTTAACATCTTGTCCCTTCTCTTGACTATAACACAACATCCTTAATATATCATCAATCATACCATATTTTTTCTTAGGGATTTTAAGAAACTGTTTAACATAATCATAAGGCGGTATTTCATACACAGTTAAAAATATCAAAATGTCGTCTTCAACATTTCTATTATGTCTTCTTTTCAGATTTAAATGACATCTGATTAATTCTTGATTATCTCTCCATTCCTGACAAATTATACATTCATCTTCTTCATCCATTGAATAATTAATAATATTATTCAATATTTGATTAGGTAAATTTAATTTATACAATTCCATATTTTCCTTTTTGAAGTGGCAACAGTTGTAGCATTTCTTATTGATATAATTATTGATTTTGGTTTCCACCATTTCTATTATAATATATATAGTTTTTATTTCTTTAAATACTTTTTTTACAAGAAATATTAAAATATTATTTAAATTATTATCATTTACAACTACAATTGCATCTAACACAGTAAGGAATAATATTATTCAGTTCGTGTGACAACTCGTTTGATTTACGTTGCGCTGTCAGATTTGTCATTATATTACCGTTTTTAATATCCATAGGAAAACCGCATCCGCAGTAATTACATTGATTTGTGGTATTATTTAAAAACCATTGCGCATTTACATAACCTTCTTTAGGTATTGTTCTTTTGGCTTTCCTGTCTTGTTCTTTGTAATTTAATATTTTCCTTTCAAAATAACTCATAATACATTTTTGATTAAATACATCATCAATATCTTTCGTATATTTATAAAATTTGACTTTGTTTAAATCTCTACACCTTGTAATTGCAGTCCATATCCATTCTGGATAATTCTTTACCAAAAAATGGTTATAATCAAAAATTGTTATGGTATCATCAATGCTACTGCCTTGGGCAGAATGACAAGTCGAGCAATATGCAAATATAAAATTACTTCTTATTTTATCAACTGGCAAAGACTGTAGAATTTCAGTTTTAACATTTTTCAACGTAAATATTCCATCGCTTCCAATATGAACAATTTTATATTTGAAATTTACATTAAAAACTGATGTTTTAGTTGTTGTATATTCTCTACAAATTAAAAATTCTCCTATTTCGTATTCATCTTTTCTATTTTCTAATTTTCTAATTTCATTTGATACATTTTTACAAGTTGTATTTAAAAATGCTATGTTGTTGATTGATTTGCTTATGTCAGTTGTATATTCAAAGTATTTTTCAATAACTTTCATAATAGGTAATTTATTTTCAAAAATATCAATTTTAATATTTCTTAGTTTATCTTTATCTTCCTGTGTGTTAAGTCGCTTACATTCTTTTAACAAAATATTATATTCAAAAATGTTATCTATAATGTTATCAGTATATACTTCATAGTCTCGAGTATTTGTTATCTCTTGAACTGGTTTTAACTGCTTGGTGTCTCCTGTTGCTATTATAATTTTTTTGTGCTTATTCTGTTCTACAAATTGTTTTATTCTCCAATATATATTTAAATTACTAAAATAAACTTCGTCAAATACTATAACATCAAAATCTGTAAAATCAAATGGTTCTAAATTAGCATCTCCATAATTAATACCGAAAAATTTATTTATTGTCATTGCTTCGCCTTCGAATGCCTGTAATAGTTTATTAGTAGGACAAATAAAAATTACATTATAATTTTTATCAACCATTTTTTGACATATATATGATTTTCCTGTGCCCGGTAGTGCTCCACGAATCATAATAGGATTATTTTGTTCAATAATTTCTATAATATTATCTGTGTCATATTCATCTACTATATCAATAGTTTTACTTTCATAAATTGGTATTTGTATTAATTCGTTTTGTGTAATTTCATAATCTACAGTAGGAAATTTAATATATTCGTCGTTTGAAATTCTCCATCCTCCTATTTCATTATTAAAGATTAAAAGCTCTCTTGCTTTTGTTATATCCGATCGCGCTATTGTAAACGCATCTGTTTTTACACTGAACACATTAATACCATTTTGATATAACTTAGAATAATCTTGATACATTCTAAAATTATGGTATTGAAGCAGTAGCTCTTTTACATACCTAAAACCATTCCTTAAGCGTGATGTGTCCTTTAAATTAAGTATATAATATGACGCCTGTTCTTCTTCTGCTGTATATTGTTCTTCATCTACTGTAATTTGTTCTGTCGTGAAATGTGTTAATTTATGTATTTTACCTCCATACTCTGCCTGATAGTTTAAAGCTTCCTTAAGATTTTTAAACACTGTGCTCTTCTGGTCAGTTGCTCCCCCTTTTTCTAAAAGTCCATAATTAACATTTGCGACCAGTTTTTTTATACATTTATCTTCTTCATTGTCTTCGCTAATGTTTGTGTTCCAAAGTTCATTAACAATATTTTTATGTTCAACTTTGTGAATAAAAGAAGGTTGTTTAAAGTATAAAGTATTAATTCGTTCTCTTGTCATGTTATCTAGTTGTTTCAAAAATACACCATATATTAAGCAATATTTTTTTATTAAATAGCATTCTTCCTGTCCGTTTCAGTATAGTAGTTTTCTTTTCTATATAATATAACGTTAAGTCGTGTAGGTCATAAATATCAGTTGTATCATCAAACGCTCGCCATATGTCAAATTGATTAAATACTGGTATTTCTGATATAGTAATAAACGCATGAGTAAATGCTTTTGATATATCGATTTCGATTTCATTTTTGATATCTCTGCTATCACACAATAAGCCAGATGGAACAACTGTTCTGGCTTCGTCTAAAATTTGAATATCAATGTCATTATAAAACGATTTATGAGATAAGTTAAACAATGACTTATTAAAATTAAACATTGCTTTATTCATATTGTTATATGTAGTTTCATTACATACTGCAATGCATCCATCTGCAGAAGTTTTTATTAAATTTTGTGTTTTTATTATATATATTGTTTTGTTAAATTTCATTTTTATTTCTGATATAATACCAGCTTGAAATCTAATTCTTGGTTCGTAGCCACTATTAACTAAATTGAAAAATAATTCAGATAACTTATTGTCTTCGGATACTAAATATATCTCTTTTGTTTTTTCATCAACTTTGGTATTTAGTATATCGTCAATATTTTTTATCATTCTATAAAGCGGTGGTTCCTCTCTTTCATTAATATAGTAGTCGGTTGAAGCTTTGACAGTTGGTATCTTGGTTATTAATTGTTTCTGTTGAATGCTTTTTAAGTCGTGATTCATTGCGTAAATATGACTGTTTTTGACCATTGCATAAAATGGTTTGATGTGCCTACTATTTATATCGGGGTCGCATTTATAAATTAATTTATTGCAACAATCATAAATTCTGCATGGAATTTTAAACTGTTTAAATACAGCCTCCATCTCCTGAATGGTTGCCCCCGTTTCGCCAAAGTTATCTCTACCTATAATTTCAATTACTTTTTCTCTAGTTAGTCTATTACGGGTTCTTTCGTTCATAATTGTATCACTGTAAAAATCAGTTAATGCATTAATCCAGCATTCATTATCGATATAATTACCCTTGCTAATTGCTTTATGTATGGTGTCTTCGTTCATCCTTAAAGGTGTATGTATATACCTATTAAAAATTGAAACATTAGTAGCATCCCTTAAATTTTCTGTAAGAATGTCAAATTTTTC